TGAACCGCTTATGTTCTGGCCTTTTACTACTGTAAAGTAAGACCAAGGTGTGAAGTTGCTTACTACTGAAAACTAGAAGAAATGGACTGCTAGAGGTCCAGAGGCAAGTACCTCTTAGGGAGAGTAAGGGTGCTTTGGCTTCATGATCTTGGATGCTTATAACAGATGTGAAGCAATAGTATTTTAATCATTGCTCACATACACTAGCAGAAAGTGTAATATCTTTGCATGGGTTTAGTCCTGAAAACTACAAGTCCCTACTGGATTTGAAAAGAGTGCATAGGTAGTCTATATTAGGGCAACTGAAGCTTAAAGAGAGAGGGAGAAAAAGATTGTTGCACACAGATAGACAAAGGGTACATATAGACACAGACATACATATTTTTATGCATCTAGTTGCTTATGTATGTGTGTATATTTATTAACGGTATATCTCAGTTCTGCCTAATCACTAGGCACTTGCAATTAGTGGAATTACTTGTAAGTTTATAAAACAATCCTTTGTAAAACACCTTTGAAGTTTAGGCACTTTGAAAACAAAGAAACTTTTCATGCAGAAACATCCATACTGTAAGTGGCATAGGAACCCAAAGTACTTGGGATACCTAGAAAATAAAGTTTATGTGCATACCATGTTTTGCCTTTGTTATAATGTGTTTTAATGAAAAATTGGAAGTTCCACCGGGTGAGATGATGAGCAAAAGACTCAAACGAACTTAAGATCAGAAACTACTGAATTTGAAATTTAGGAAAGTCTATGTGGGATCCTGTTTCCGAATAAGCTAGAGTAGCTGCAGTTGGCTGCTTTGTCCACAAGAGGGAACATGTAGAATGCAGAGGTTTATATTTCTTTTTGTGATGAAATAGGTTCATTTTCTTTCATGTAGCAGAACATGCTTTCACTTATTGGCAGATAGTTGAATTTAGGAAAGAAATTAAAACTGATCTCTGAAATATTTTCTGCTAGTTTGAACACTGGAGCATTTGATTTGGCTTTTTTTTAGCCTCCCATTTTCTGTGGGGAAAACAAATGTTTTGTCTAGTAGATTCATAAACAGAGTTTTAGCTATTTGAGAAGAATTCATGTGTTTTTTTATTTTTCTCCTATGTTCTTACGTTATAACTAGGTATTGTGATTTATTTTTATTTCTCAATCTCAGAATGCTTTACAAATGGGCTAGGTAACATAAATCTAGCAGTGTCTAACAGTGGAGTCTACTCTTCCTGCTGGTGTGCACCTGGAGTATTGCATGCCAGTAAGGCAAAACTTCAGATGAGTGTAGTTAACTCAAATGAATTTAGTCTCTTGGTTTCCACAGACAAACTGCAAAAACTTTGGTTAGCTTTGACAAAATATTACTTGAACAAAAATTAGGATAAAATTTTAAGTATGTTTCTCATTATTTTAGTGATGAAATTAAGGTTCAGCCTAGCCAACTGAGAGAATCTGTAGAAGGACATGGAAGAATTTATGAAGAGCAAAGGCTGTTAGAAGAAAGTTTTACTATTCACTTGGGTAAGTAAGGTAAACTGACACGGAAACCAAACATAGGTTATATAGTATCACCTGTTACTATCTAAGCTATGTGTTATTTACAGTATTAACTTGTCAGTGTTTATAATATGTACAGTTTGTAATTGTTTCTTATTTATTCTTTACATAATGTAAGAGAAGTGCACTATGGTATAAACTGTATTAAACAGTATCTACCTACTTGGAAAATATTTAATGGAAACCATACTAGAAGCAAGTTTTTATCCACTCTTGCAAGGCGTCTAGGGTAGAAAACCACACTAACATCAAAACACATAGCAGTTAAAAGTTAAAATATAACTTTTCTTATCTTTGGTAAGAAAATGTGGGTATTAGATTCAATTCCCACAACAGAGTAACAGAAAAATAGATGCTTAAAAGTTCTTATTTATGCAGCAGAGACTTCTTGTATGCTCTGTTTTGACTTTTTTTGTTGAGCCTTGCTTTGTGACATAATGTGAAAATATTGTGGGTTTTACTCTTTATTTTGTAAATTGCTGCTATCTATGTAAAACTGAACACATGATTAAGAACCTCCTTTGGGTATTTCTTCCATGAAACATAGGGGAGCACCCTTGCATTTTAATAATACTCCTTGAGTTTCCTATTTTACTGTATGTATTAAAATAATTTACATTCTGTACAGGAGCTCAGTTGAAGACCATGCATAACTTGAGACTACTGAGAGCTGATATGCTGGATTTCTGTAAACATAAGCGCAATCATCGAAGTGGAGTAAAACTTCACAGACTTCAGACTGCCATGTCTCTCTATTCAGCTTCTCTCTGTGGCCTGGTTTTATTGGTAGATAATCGTATCAGTTCATACAGTGGCATCAAAAGAGGTGAGTCCTCTGATGGGATGTACTGTGTACAGTGAAAACAAATGCCTCTTAAGAACTTGCTGTCTTCTCTTGTAAAAAAAATTCACTTTAAAATTAAAATTTACTGAAGATCCTAAAGTTTTCAACATGGTATTGCAAAAGAGTAACAAATGTAAAAAGAGATGGGGATGGGGATGGGGGACAGACATAAGTTCTGTTACCATGTTATCTCTTCTCTGTTGTACGTTTTATGTTTGAGTAAGGAACACAGTTAGAGTGACCACTTCAGCATTGATTTCCCTGCCTTAGACTGGCTTCTTATCAGTAGGGGATTCTGATTCCTGTAGCTTAGCATACTGGAACTGGTTGGCAAAGATGAAAATGAAACATGGTAAGATTTTAAATTGATAAGCAAATGTATATGTAAATGTATTTTTACCATATGCTTTAGATATCCAGTGCTCTATGTGTTCCATTAAAAAATAACAGTAGGAATATTACTTACCTACTTGTATCAAAGTTAACCAATGAAATGTGTTCATTCCTGTTCCAATTGTGGTCACTGAGGCTTTTCCTGAACCACATTATTGACTTTCCCATCTTCATCTTACATTTGAAATTTCTTTTTCAACCAGAACTGCTATTACTTGTCATTGTTATGGTGTGCTGTAAAAAAAAAAAAACAACAAAAAAACAACTTTGGTGGTTGATATTCTCTGAAAACAGTGTGTGGAAGCAGGCTTGTAGCAAGAAGGAGAGGGAAGTGTACCAGTAAAAATTGTGGTTGCGTTTGTGCTGTTTATGGTTTCCAAGTTACTTAATTCTGACTGTATTATTTCATACTTGTACTCATTTTCAGATACTTTTTAAACTGCTTAAATACCTAAATTAGTAACAATAAGTGAAGATTTGTTTTTATACTGAATTTTAAAAGATAAGAGAAGACAGATATTTAAGTAATACTGTTAAATACAATACTGCGTCTTATAGCTAGCAGTTAGATCTTCCAGCCACAAGGGGAAAATAAGAAATATAATCCTCTCTATTTTTTTATTTCTCTGAGTTCCAAAGGGACAGCAGTGTGTCCAACAGTATCGTGGCTTGTATCAGAAATGGTGTGGCCAGCAGGACTAGAGAAGTGATTGTGATCCTGTGCTTGGCAGTTGTGAGGCGGCACCTGAATATTGTGTTCAGTTTTGGGCCCCTCACCACAAGAAAGACATTGAGGTGCTGGAGCAAGTCCAGAGAAGGGCAATGAAGCTGGTGAAGGATCTGGAGAAGTTTTACAAGGACCAGCTGAGGGAACTGGCATTGTTTACTCTGAAGTGGAGGAGGCTGAGGGGAGACCTTTACAGCTACCTGAGAGGAGTTTGTAGGGAGGTGGGGGTTAGTCTCTCCTCCCCAGTAACAAGTAACAGGACAAGAGGAAATCATGTAATCAGAATGGTTTGGGGTGGAAGGGACCTTCTAAGGTCTTTTCAATGAACTCTTCAATGAACTCTTCCAAGGAGAGAGCATCCACAGCTTCCCTGGGCAGCCTGTTCCAGTGTCTCACCACCTTCACAGTTAAGAATTTCTTCCTAATAGCTAATATAAATCAACCCCCTTCCAATTTAAAGCCATTATCCCTTGTCCTCTTGCTATGTGCCCTTGTAAGAAGTCCCTCCAGCTTTCCTATAGGCCCCCTTAAGTACTTGAAGGCCACTTGGAGATATGCCCAAAGCCTTCTCTTGTCCAGGCTGAACAATCCCAACTCTCTCAGCCTGTCTCCATAGCAGAGGTGCTTCAGCCTTCTGATCATCTTTGTGGCCCTTCTCTAGACTCTCTCCAACGACTCCATGTCCGTTCTATGTTGGGGGCTCCAGAGCTGGATGCAATACTCCAGGTAGAATCTCACAAGAGCAGAGTAGAGGGGTGGACCTGCTGGCCATGCTTCTTTTGATGCAGCTTTTGATAGCCCCCTTGGCATCGGATCACAACAGCAGCCCAGGACACAGTTGCCTTTCTGGGCTGCAGAGGAGCACATTGCTGGCTCATGATGAGTTTCTAATCAGCCAACACCCCCAAATCCTTTTCCTCAGGGCTGTTCTTGATGCATTCTCTGCCCAACGTGCATTCGTGCTTGGGATTGCCCCAGCCCAGGTGCAGGACCTTGGTCTTACTGAATTTAATGAGGTTGTCATGGGTCCACAATTTGAAGGCTGTCAAGTTCCCTCTGGATGGCATCCCTCCCTTCCAGTGTGTTGACCTCGCCACACAATTTGGTGTTGTCAGCAAACTTACTGAGGATGCACTTGACCCCACCATCCATGTTGCCAGCAAAGATGTTAAGCAGCACCGGTTCCTTATCCACGAATTCCGTAAACATCAAGTGATCCATCCATTGAATCCATATCTTTCCAATTTAGAGACCAGGATAATGTGCAGGACATTAATGAACGCTTTGCACAAGGCCAGGTAAATTATGTCAGTTGTCTGACAAACCTCCTCGCCTACCAATGCTGTGACCCCATTGTAGAAGGCCACCACATTTGTCAGGCACAATTTGCCCTTTGTGAAGCCATGCTGGTTGCCACCAACCACCTCCACCTTTTCCATGTGCCTTAGCAGAGCCTTCAGGAGGATCTGCTCCATGATCGTGCTGGGCACACAGATGAGTCTGACTGGCCTGTATTTCCCCAGGTCTTCCTTTTTCTCTTATAGAAAATGGTGGTTGTTTCCCATTCTCCAGTCAGTGGGAGCTTCATTGGACTGCCATGTCTTTTCAAATATGATGGAAAGTGGCTTAGCAACTTCACCTGCCAGTTTCCTCGGGAGTCATAGATGGATCTCATCAGGTCTCATAGACTTGTGCACTTCCAGGTTCTTTAGACGGTGTCAAATCTGCCCTTCTCCTCCAGTGGGTGGATCATTCTTCTCCCTGTCCCAGACTTTGCCTTCTGCAACCTGGGTGGTGTGGCCAGAGCCCTTACCAGTGAAGACTGAGGCAAAAAAGTCATTGAGCACCTCATATCCTGCATGACCAGGTCTCCTGTTTTCTTCTGGAGAGAGCCCCTGGTTTCCCTAATCTTCCTTTTATTGCTGACGTTCCTGTAGAAGCTTTTCTTGTTACCCTTGATGTCCATGACACAATTTAATCTGGGTGTTGGCTCTCCTAATGTGATCTCTGGCTTTTTGGACATCTTTGTACACCTACCAGGCTACCTGTTCTTGCTTCCATGCTCTGCAGACTTTTCTTTTTACATCCGAGTGTGTCTAGGAGCTCCTTGTTCATCCACAGGCCTTCTAGCATTCTTGCCTGCCTTATTCTGAAAGTTTTTAATCTGAGTGACTTTGTTTGAATAGAACAGCACTCAAAGTTGAATTCCTACTCCCCCCCCAAATTAATTTATTTCAAAAAATATTTTATCTCTGCCATAATTTTTTGGAACTTAAAGAGGAGTACAGTAGGCCTTTGTCTGGTTTTGAGGGGCCTTGCATGAGCAGTAGAATTATGTAGTGTTGCTAAGCACAGCCTTATTATATGAGTTTTAATGTGTTTGTGGGTTTTTTTCCTAGATTTTGCAACTGTTTGCCAAGAATGCACAGATTTCCATTTTCCTGGAATTCAAGAACAGCTTGGAGTTGTCCAGAAGGTTGTACTGAAGGCCAGAGCACAGTGTAGCAGTAAGTCGAAAAGACATCATGGTCAGTGACAACCAAAATTGCTTTCCTTGAAATAGAATAATGGGCAGCTGAATATTTATGGTTATGGGCAAATTCATTTCACTTTATTTCAGTTATCTGATCTATAAAATTGAATGTTCTAGTTTTATCAATAAGCTGTGAGAAGTCTACATGAAATTCTTTCTTCACAGACAGCATGTTCACATGATGCCTTTGCTGCCATAGCAGACATACCTTACTACAAAAAAAAAAAAAAAGTGTGAATCCTTCAGTTCTGTTCACACTTTGACAGCATGGGGCTGTGTGCAGGGCCATTGTGATTTCCTCTGCAGTTTAAACTGCCTGTAGCAACACAGACTTGACCTTTTTATTTCTATTTAAATGTAAAGCTTTAAAAATTGTGGAAGAGGAGTTACAACTTACTTTTCCCCTTCCTTATAAGTGAACACTAAAAACTGAAAAATAAATAGACTGAGTCTGTAAAGTTTTTAGTACTGACCAAATCCTTGTGAATGGTTTACTTTGCAGTTTGATTTACAAATGAGTGTGAAATTTTCTGACCACATGGTGTTAAGGCAGCACTTGTACATCATGAAACTTTGTTTTCCTTGGAGAGAACTACATATGTGGTTTAAATACGTCAGTAACATGAATAGATTCATAAGAGTACATGGAGAAACAAGTTTTCTTAGGAATCTGTGTATTGCTGTAGTCTTGAAAGTACTGAAAGCTGTTTTTATACTGCTGATTTATGTAAATCTTAACAAAAATTCTTGTAATACTAGGAAATTTGTTTTGAATAGCTACATTATTTAAAAAACAATCACAAGGTACTACATATTTGTGGGGGCAATCTGGAAAGTTTAGTAGTAAGTTTTAGGATATTGTGTTTTCTTTTGTCCAAATGAAGAGGTATCATAGGATGATTAAATAAGAAAGCTAAGGATTTACTGCGTAGGTGTAGTGACTAGTGTATGGGATCCTGCTCTAGCAGGGGCTTTGGACTAGATAATCTTCAGGCGTCCAACCCTAACCGCTCCGTGACTCTGTGATGTGAGATGGGATTCACTTCAGTGTCCACTGAAGACAGTAAAAACACTTCCTGTCAATCCCCCTGCTTTTTGGGGACTTGATTATAAAAATTATATTATCTCAGTACATCAAACATTCATTCCAAAGCATAATTAATAGATGATATGTTTAATATTCTTGCTATGCATTTCTATACAGAAAACAAAAGTAGTGGAAATGAAGATAAATTAAAGAATATTGAACGAAACCAGTCAAATATTTTGCCAGGTGAGTTCTGTTGCATTTTCCACTCTTCTTAAAGCAAATTGTGTTTTATAGATGTACATTTTAAGCTCTACACTCAAAGATAAATTATAAAGTAACCTCAAGTTGAACTCAGTCAGGAGAGAAGGATGTTCTTGTGGCTACAGCAGAGAACTGGGTGTCAGGACATCTGGTTTCTATTCCCAGCTTTGCCACTGCATCATGTGACTTGGGGCAAATCACTTTAAGTTCTCTATGCCTAAAATTTCTTTTTTGAATTTGAGGGTGAAAAAAGATCTCTGAGCATCTTGGGAAAAGGTGAAATTTAAATACTAGCAAGTAATTTTATTTTTGGAAATAATTATATATATGTCACTGTTGTGATACGGTAAAGCATTTTGAAGTGTATTTTTTAACTTTGAGAATGTACAAGTCCATTTCTCTCAAAGAGGAAGTACATTCTGTGTATGTTGTGGATTTTAGTCAGGAAAACTGTGGAATTTGAAGAGGAATACACAGAGGAATGAGGAGTGAAATCCATACAACCCACGGTTGAATAAATTGTTTTCGTGATTGTCTTAGGTCTTGCTAATATAAGTGGATTATAAATCAACGTGGGTCTTGAACAGGTAAATCCAGGTGAATCTTGCTGCAGTGGCTTGTGTATTACTGCTCTTAGTCACTGTTGGGGATTACTAGCCCCTTAGCAGTCACCAGAAAGGAATACATACCTGTTCTTCAGCTGTCCCAGTACAAAGGTAGTATCTTAAATTAAATGACCAGTGAAAATAGATTTAAAGAAAAATGCCTACCTGTTACTGAAACAGCAGGGGTATTGCATATCTGCTTTTCTGTTGACTCTACTATAGACTTTTGGTCTCCAGCAGAAAGGTAAGATGGAGTGACATGCATTTCACTGTTCCTTGCTCTTTCTCTACCTTTGGTAATTAATACCAAGTCTAAAAATACCCTCAACAAGTTATCTTGTTAGCTTTTGAAAACAGCTCCATAACTTATCTTCCCATTACTGTGAATGATTTTAAATTTTAATGATCACTGAAACCTTTGTTTTCCAGTACATATCTCAGTTGTTATGTAACCCACTATCTTTTTCCACAGGCTTTTTGAATTCTTTATTTTAACCCATCCATTTTTGGTCTTTCTGCCTCCCACATCTGTCTGCAATTCAGTGCTTACATTATATGTTTTGAGCATTACACCTCCTCTCTGTTTTTCTGTTTCATGCTATGTATAGATCATATCCGCCTGTGTTGGCACTGCTGCTTCCTACTACACCAGGTGTCTGTGATGCCAGTGAAACCCATCAAAGCAGGGAAGTGTGTGTAGGATGAATGTAAAACAATGATACTCCAAGAGATTTTAGATCAGTTGGTTTCTAACATTTTTAATCTCCTTATGTTTGTGTTCTGATCTCTGTTGTATATTTGTATTTGCTTTTTGTCTTTACTGACCCTGACCACTACCTTGGTATCTTGACTTCTTGGTTTTTATTACTCTGTAGGAGAATTCTATATCACACGCCATTCAAATCTTTCTGAAATTCATGTTGCTTTTCACCTCTGTGTGGATGATAACGTACGATCTGGTAACATAACTGCTCGGGATCCTGCAATTATGGGACTCAGAAACATTCTCAAAGTTTGCTGCACACACGACATTACTACCATTAGCATTCCTCTCCTATTGGTGCACGATATGTCAGAGGTAAGTAAATATAAAGGTTTGTTTTGGTTTTGTCTTCTAGGATGCAAGAAAAATTATTTTTACAAAGGTTGTATTTCATGCTGGTTTAAGCCAAACGAGACAGTTTATCCTAGCCACATGCTCCTGCCACATCATTGTGCCATCTCTGCCCATGCAGGGGGCTTGGAACTAGTTGATCTTTAAGGTCCCTTCCAAATCAGTCCATTCTATGATTCTATATCATGACCCAAATTAAGGAACTGAAGCAGTTAAAAACATTTCAGCCAGCTGAATCACTTTAACTTTTTATTCTTACCTTGCATTTTGGAGACTTCACTTCCTTGATCCACCTCATTGCACAGTTGCACAATTGTTAATGAAAGATGGGACCATGTGCCTGGAAGTCTTCTACCAATGGCTCTTTGTGTAGAAGCTATGCTTTTAGGGTTGCTGGTGAGATAGTAATACCAGATGCTCAGTTTTAACTGTTCCTAGTTAGAAAACCTTAAAACATAAGTTGTATGAACAGCAAAACTAGCAAAGTTTGGGTTAGAGTTCTGTATCCCTAAACACCGCCAAACCATACACAGCAGCAGGCAGATTTCACCATTGTTCTAAACTGTTTCCTTCTTCTCTGCTTAATCACTTGCATCCATAGTATCTGTCCCTGTTTCCTCTTTAAGGCCCCCAAATACCAGCTGGACAAGAAGCAGCATATTGTCGGTCCTCTTTGTAGATACAAGTGTGCTTTCTTACTCTGCTGAGCTGTTATGTTCTCTTCTTCCATGGGACACTAATGTGTAGAGTTGGTTTTTTGCTCCACTGGAGGTTTTCCCGATGCATAGTAACCTAGTATCATTGACAACCTCTTTCATCTGTCACATCTGCCTTACAGTAGACTAGGAGAGAAGAAAAATGTGGTGGGGAGCCAGGGAGAGCAGCAGAACAGGCGGTAGAGCCATTTATCTCACCTCCTTAGGAGGTGGAAAGTCTATAAAGAAATGAGAAAAATAATGTAAAGCTGCCATTACTGATGCCCTTGCATGGATTATTATAGTCTGTTGTGTTTTTTAAAAATCCCTTTGATCTTTCTTTTTTAAATTTCACTACTGCCTTCCCTTCTTTGAAAGTGCCTGACTCATAGCAAGACAAAGGCTCAGCAGTGTTTTACCTTTAACGGTGACTTTTTTTCTAACAATTTGATTGGAACACAGTGTAACATTGGAACCCTTTTTGCAAGATCAGAGTTCATTGTGAAAGTGCAAGCAATGCATACGTTAAAAATGTCCAATAATAAAGGTTCTGAAATACATATTTTCATACATAAAAGCAGACTTTTAGGAACAGATTGTATTATTTCTGAATTTTTTCATATCTGGCATTTAACTTTTTTGGGGCACAAACACAAGTAATCAACTTGCAGGACAGCAGCCTGGGTTACTCATGGGATCTAGTTACTGTGTTTCATAAATGTATTGATCTTTTTTCTTAATCAAGTTGCCATCTGACTATATATTTTTTTTTTATTAAACCACGTTAATCTCAGTTTTTATTTGCTTATCTGTATTTTAAAATACAAATAAATAGAAGACCAAGTGTGCAATGTGCTTGGAGAGCATTGTCACTTGTATGCGTGAAACTGAAGAATTAACCTTCCTGTGTAGAGCTGGGTTCTAAAAAGGTCTTGGTAGAACAATTGACCTTTAATATTAAGCTTTCAGTCTTTGCAGAGTAAGCAGAAAGGGACCTATGTGATTAAGTGTATGTTTAGCCAAAACTGCATTGTATGAATTGCATTAGCAGCATTTCTTATTACAGTGCTTTGCAGCTGGGTGACCTCATTTGAAACACACAGATATGTAGCTTGTTGTTGAGGGAAGAGTGAATAATAAGAGATCACTGAAAGTTAACCTGAACTTAGTGCCTTCAGCAGCCCCAGTTTTGAATCTGTGTTTACCACCTACAGAAAAACATTTTTGTAAAGTGGTTAACCAGGAGCACAGCTGCAGAGTTGTTTGCTTGCTTCACTGTGACAGGCATTCATCATGAGTTTTCTCTGTGCTTTTCCCAAAGGTTTCTTCTTTTATGGACGGAAGAATTGCGTTTATAACCTCACAGAAGTTATCAGTGTAGGGATCTCAATGAACCCATGACATTTTGTTATTACTGGACCTTCATAAAAAGAGAATTTTTTTTTTTTCTAAGAAAAAAAATAGGAATTCTGTTTTCCTTAGTTTTTCTTATGACAAGAACAACAAGAACAGATTTCTCTGTAGTTATTGTTAAGTTAAACCAAAGAAAGTTGGTTCGGTATTTGAAAAATGCAAAAGCAGAGTTCAAAATTTCAAAAGTTCAAATTCAGGACAACTGAGACATTACTGTCTGATCACTGTTCTAAATCTAATACAAGCTGATATATAATCTGGGGAATGAAAAGGCTTCGATAGCATGGTGTCACTAAAAATGCTAGACTTGGCACACTTCCTTGGTATTTTCAACATAGGAAACACTGCTGCTCTCCACACAACAACACTGAGAAAAATGTGACTCTTCAGGGGTCTCAAACATCTGTCTATTACGCAAGTTAAGATAAAATAATGTTTTGAAAAAAGGTAGAAATAAAGAAAGTAAAAATTTCATAACAGATGTTTATGCATATAGAGAGATTATCGATGGGGTGGTTATCCTCAAATATTTCTCATCCCAGTTTCCTGCCTTTAATATATAGCTGCTCAAACAGTGTTTGGGATGTGCACAGAGATGCTTCAAGTAAACATCTTGATCATTCTTAACTTACTAATACTAACAATGAAAATTTGGTTTGATATCTTCATCCCATCAGACAATTATGGATTTCAGAGTTTTCATTACCTGGTTATGACAGCATTCTGTAAAAAGTGCAAGCCCTTAGTTTTCTAAAAGTGGCAGCCCCATGTAATGAGTCTGTCACAAATTTGTTTGAATATAAAGGTTTGCAGCATATTTTACTAATCAGCGAGACTGGTATGTTTTGTGGTTTTTTTTTAATAAGCAGAAGACATGAATTTGACAACAAATAACTGCATCTTTAAAAATAAGCGTGGTTTCTGCTGGTGAACAAAACCCAAAGTCCCAGGTGGTTTTTTACTTGCTTGAATGCTATTAACCAAAACTTGCTATAGGAGAGGAGCTTTTTGCCTGTGTATTTATACTGCACTGTATTTTGAATTGATACTTACCTGATCCTTCATCTTTTCTACAACTGCTACGTAATTTGAAGAAAAGAGAGAAAAATCCTGATTATAATTGAATCACTAGTGCATCTTTTTCAGTTCTTGTGGCTTGCACGCAGTGACGTTCTGGATTCAACCTGTTATTTTCCTGAGTGCCCACAAGATTTAACATTTGTGTTCCTCTGAAATAGTCCAAGGAATAGTGTCATATCCTGCTGTTTCGATCAGTCCTTTTAAAGCTTATTTCCCTTTATTGATTATGCAAGGTATTCCTGAGTTACCTTTAGAGCAACAGGACCTTTTTTTTTTTTTTTTTAAACACTCATTTTTTACCTAAGCGAACACAGTGATCAGAACTAAAAATAAGAACCTGTATTACTTGTGACAGAAAGCACACATAGGCAGATAAATTGTAACAGGCCAAGTATTTCTTCCAAAAAACCTAGAAAGGGGGGAAAAAAAAAGTCCAGCATTGTTCTGCATCATGTGTTGTAGACCGTAAAAGCATCATCTATCGATGCAGTTATTTACATCATGAAAGAAAGTTTTCTGAAAAGTCATTTCTATCTTATGCTGGTTTTAACACATTATGTATTTTGGGGATAGCAGGAGGTACTCCCACCTAAGTAGGAACTTTGGCTTTCACAAGTTGTTTAGTGCAGCCACACTCAGCATACTGCTTCAGTGTTATTCAGTTGGCATTCTTAGATAACCTTGTTTCTCATTTATTTAATTAATTCTGAAGGTGAGATCTTTGAAAATGACAGAAAGCACAGCGTTTGGCATTGCAAAATAAAGGGCGGCTTTACTGAATAGAAAACTATGTAAAGTGTAAATTTGGAAAGGTACATAGAATGATACATTTGTTTCTGCATGTGTATTCCTGGAATCAGACTAGGAAGTGGTAGTTTTAATGTTGAAGAGTGTATCAGAACAAATAGGTACTGTTTTCTTTCTGAGAAGTGTTTACAGTGACAGTCATTCTGTCTCTGACTAGGAATATCCACTTTGTAGTGTACAGCTAAAGAATGTTTAATGTACTAAAGTATTTAAACTGTTACGTAAATTATTTAGACCAGTGCTTGTAGCCATGGTTAATATATCTTAAAGAGGTCTGGTTTTCATATGCCACCTTGGTGTTTAACTTGAGGTAAGAATTTGTTACCTGTTTACATATGTAAACTCCTCCATCAGATGAAGATGGATTTGGTTTCCTTTAACTCTTAACACAAAGGCATCTTTAGGGGCAAAGGGCTTCTTCCAGTTCCAGTATTGGAAAGATTTTACTGAAGGTGGTGGATATGCTGATAAATCTTTACCCAAATCATCATCAACACCTAAGAATCATCAGCTGTTTCTTCTATAAGGTAGTCAGGAGCTGTGGCTACCTGAAGCACAAATCCAACAGTTACCCACTGAATATTATATGTTTTTCTGAAGCTCTACAAGGGAATTAAACAGACCCGTGTCCAATTAAGTTAACAGAGTTGTCAACAGTATTTTTATTCAACATCTCAGCTTAAAAAAATTATGTATTGTTTTGCCACTGGAGTCTTCTACCAATAAGCTGCAGTTACCATGCTTTTATGGTCACCTATAAGGTACATACCACCTGCTAGAATACTCTGGAAAACTGAATCCCTCTTCATGGCCGTTAATGCTGCTTGAGTACCTGATGGGAAAATGTGGTTCTATGCCAAAAATGCATTATTTTTAGTAAATTCCCTGCTACTCTTGTTGGTTAGATCCATTGGGCATTGAGGCTTTTCATTTACTAATTTTTAGGAAATGACCATTCCATGGTGCTTGAAGAGGGCAGAGCTTGTTTTCAAGTGCATCAAAGGTATGTTAGTGAATGCTGCAGATGGTTTTTTTTATGTTGACTTTGATCAGATTCAGCCTTAGCTCAGGCTGTATATTTTCACCTATACAGGTGTTTTTCAATGATTTGTTATTTGTTAAAATATACACTTATATTGTCACTTGAAAATTCTTAACTTGTACCAGGAAATAGTCTCACACACAGAATGGAGACGAAAATTTTTTGAAATGATGTTTGTAACTTAAATGTAGAAGAAAAAGCCTTTATTGCTGCTTTGAGCAATCTCTGAAGAAAGGCAAGAGCTAGTGGTTCTCTGCAGTATCATTTCCACTGTATTTTGTATTTTGATTGCCTCAAGCAATGAGGACTCGCCACATTTGTCCAAGACTAGATTATACACGAATTCATCTCTTCTGCAAAGTCCTGATGACTCAGCTTGGTTTTCTGTCTTCCAAGTGATATTATTTACTTTTTCCTCGTGTATTGCACTTAAATACTTGAACCAGTTATTTAAGAGTATTTAAAATTTTAGTAGTATTAATGTTCTTACTATTACCTGCTCAAGGAACCTCTTCTTGTTATGACCTTTAGTAATTCAGTGTGGAATACCATCCACATAGCCACTTCTATTAAAGATATTTTTTTTTTTAGTATCTTTATTTGCCACTAATATGTTCCTGTGGCCCTTGTGGTTAATTTGTGTGGAAATACCAGCATAAAAATGCCATAGTCTAACTTGAGCAATAAAGGAGTACTTAACTTTTTCCATGTAAGTCCAGGTAGTTTCTCTCGCTGCCAGATTGTCCGTGGACTTTTGGCAGTGAGCTTATACTCTTTCACATGGAAGTGGTCAGAGCTGAAGGAAGGAGCTATTTCTCATTGAAGAAAGCAAGCCATTGAAAGGACTCATGCATATCAGGAGAAACCTCTCACTCCTGCTGGCTAGCTCTCTGCTGTACAATAGGACTTGTATTCTGCTCTTCAAGGGTATATTGATTTTCTCCATACCTGCTCATTAGATTTTCCAGTTAAAGCAGATTTCACTTAGGAGTTTGGCCAAGTCTGATTAAATGTGATTAATGACATTCCTAGTTAAGGCAGCTAAAATCCTAATGGTGTATGAAAACTCCCTCACTGCTTGATAATGGTGTAATTGATGGGGGAGATTACATACGTAATGCTTACAGTATGAATGCTGCTTCCTAGGTTTCATGATGGAGATGGCCTCATGGGATGGAGGAATTTCTCGGACTGTGCAATTCTTGGTACCACAGGTAGGTTAAACTGAATTCCTATTCAACAAGAAATTAAATGTCAGCAGATCTAGTTTTGATTTCTTTGCTATGTCCTTTTCTTTTTGTATGAGCTTAACAATCACTGTGGCTTTGGTCACTTGCCTATAGAACAGGAAAAAGAAGGGTTTATAATTTGTTATATCCTGTAGTATCTTCTGAGGATCCTGAAATTTAAAATTGGGAAATTCACCTTTACAAACAGTGAATACGTCACCTTTGGAAAATATACTATTTGTGCTATTATTTGCTCTGAAGAAATGGACTAACCTTGCATTACATAAGTTCAGGCCTTGATTGGTCATATTGTCTAACAATATGCAATGAATTCAGTCATGCTTCCACATTAACTCATGACTCTAGGTATTTGAAGTTAATGGTAATAAAAATTCTGTAATTACTGAATTTGGAGTTCTAGCTTATCTTCAGAAATAGGACGTTTTCTGAAGCTGACTAGCACTAAGTGTTATTTGTTCTAAAAAGTGGTACTGGAAGTCATACAAAAAATCAGTCGTATTAGGAAAGAAATTCCATGTATTTCTTGACAAAGTAGTAAACAGATGAGCAAGGAGAAAGCCAAGAATTAACTAAGTAGTGAAGCTGAATGTAATGTGGGAATTCAGTGAGCAGGAGTCCTATAGATAAGAAACAGCACTGTCCTGCTTGTCCTAGGCAGAAATAATCCATTACTGGAACAAGAAGTCTACTGGAAAAAGATGATGAAACAAATACACAAACAGTATTTTTAGGTCAGTCTTTTCCTTTTGATTAAATTAAATAGAATTGTAACACATAGTCTGAAAATAACACTTCTCTTAAATGTCAAGAAACAAAACTGAGAGAGACTTAATTCTTCCAAACTACAGCAAAAAGTCAAAGCTTACTGATGTATTTTTTAAACTTTTTTTTTCTAGACAATTTCTGAGGAAATGTTTTACCAACTGAGTAATATGCTTCCACAAATCTTCAGAGTATCCTCTACATTGACTCTGACCTCTAAGCACTGAAATTTGTGCAGCATTAAGATGTATTCTGTTGATAAAGGAGGAGATTATAGAGATTCTGGAATGGAGTGTCTCTTCTGAGAGATGATGACCACGAAGTGGTATTTGTTGTGATTTCAAGACCTATGTTGTCCTAATAAAATATAAATGCTGTCTGTACTTGGATGTTAGTTGATTTTTGCCTCTTGCTTTCAGTTTCAGCACATTATTAAAGTTGAAATCCTCAGCTTTATCTGAAAGACATTCAGTGTGACTTTATGTAATCTACAGAAATATATGTGATTCTCATACTTAAGTAGAGCTTACAGTAGGAAAAGAATCTTCTAGGTGGGCTTCAGGTTGTTGAGTTTCAAACATGTATTCTGAATTTGCTCAATGATGTTTAAAAAAATATCAATAATGTCAGCTTTCTTCTTAGGATAATTTTGATGTAACTAGTCCCAGTTGTCTTTCCAGGGTCACACTGATCACAAAATAAAATGTATTACTGCTTCCCTTTACCATTTTACTGTTACAAAATGAAAGACATGAAACAAGCATTTAACCTGCTGCATTTTGTAAATCCAGGAAATGTTTAAAACAAACCAAACAAATTAATATCCCTGCAACAATAATAAGAAATTTTAATTGTTTTTTCTTATTTTCTTTTTTTTTTTTACTATGTAACTTTTCCCTTTATTTCAAGAATTCATACTGACACGTCTGTCACGTGACCAACTTAATAAGAACAAGTTAGTGTTCTGGACTCTGTACAGGTATGTTTTGCTGCTTATTAATTATTGTTTTATGATTAAACAGCCTAATTGGGAATGCTGGAGAGACAGCTCAGGATGCAGCTATGAAATTTCTTGAGATAAATTTGAATCCAGTCCAAAAAAAATCAAAAGAATAAAGCCCCCTGCCTCCTGGTGATGCCAGCAGAGGGGAAGTTGGGAACTGTTTTCCTCCCGTCTTGGACAGTCAAGCTTTTTGAACTCAGCTGTGGGCCCAGGTGGCTGGAAGCAATCCTTCAGCACAGAGACTGGCCACAGGGAAACTGGGATTCTTGGGGCTGTCCGGAGTCAGGCTCACAGTGAAGCAGCTGGAGTGGTAGAGGTCCCAATTAGCTTCCTGAAGTCCACAGTTCTGTTACGTAGGAAGCACAGGGATCCTGGCAGAGCTGGCTTTGAATCTTACATCTCTTTCTATGTATTCCTGAAATCCTGCATTTGATGTCTGGAGATCCTGGAAGCCAACTAAGAAATAAATTATTTTTTTTTGTGTGTGTGCTTTTTAAAAAAAATGACTTTAAGTATTATTATCATGATTGAGTTTGATACATGTGAAGATTGCAAAGATCTGTTCTGGGGAAACTGCATAATTTTAAATTCTCATAGCCAAAGGAATATCTGTCAGCTTGGGACATTTATAAAGCCACCATGCAATTAACAAACTTGGCTTAGTATTTTTATTGGGTCCTGTGTGCTGTACAGAAGCCATGTAAGTGAACCAGCAAATGTCTATTGCTGAACTGTCAAATGGCTTCATTCCTCTGCCAGCAACTTCTAAAGAAGAATCATGCAACTAATGTCACCTAAGTTGGTGTTCTAGAAAAGAAGGATCATCTAGAAGAAGCTGGATTAATCCTGTTAGAGCTCATTTTACATGGCTGTCCTTAAGCTGAACTCAAACTCTGGTCCCAGAAAAGCTAGTGATCTAACCACTGTTCTGTTTGTGAAAGGTGCAGTAGCAGAAGTACTCCTTTTTATAAGTTGTGTGACTTATCTGTGTTGTGAAAGGGTCTGTGTTACATACTCCCTATTTTATTTCTTTTTCTGCAGGCAGTACATCTACCAGGAGTAAATAGTGGAACATCAAAAAATCTGGAGCAAATAATCTTGCCTCTTACACTTTCAGAATCTTTCTTAATAAAAATTATGTAGCAGGTATCCCTGATTATACCAGGGAGGTTGGAATCTGGTGACCTTTAAGGTCCCTTCCAACTGTAACCTCTAGTGGTGAGGTTTTGGAAAATTAAGGTGGTTGGAATGTTGTGGGAAAACTATTAGTTCTGCTTAAAATTGTACTTAAGCCTGGCTCTTGTGACTGCTGAATTGGCCTGCCAAGTTGAATCTTTGTCAGATGGACTCTTGATGTAACATTATTGCCATTTTTCATATCTGTTCCCAAGTAAGTAGTACTAATAGCAGATTTTTAGCTGTCTTTGTCAAAAAACAGAATATAGGGATGAGGTGACCTAAAGTGTACTTTGTTTGATATGTATCCTATATTCAGTAGAATATAGACTGCAATTTATGAAGTAAAGCCACATGGGAATCCTGTTTGGGTCATGAGAAGCTATTTGAGATTAAGAGGAAAATTAATAAGCATGTGGTTTTCTATTTGTATATGCAGTGCAGCATTCTTTGGAAGGATGACAGTATTTAATGTCTTGAAAATACTGCATAAAATTGTACATGTAGTTTGTATTGAATAAACAGTCCTTGGCACTAAGAGAAATGAGGAATCACTGCCATAATGTAGCTTTTTTTAACCTGCTTATGGTGACTGGAATAAACTGCAGTTTCCCTTTACAGAATCTGAACTGAGGGTATTACAAGAAAAAAGAGTTATAGAAAGTCTCAGTTTGTTGAGGACACAGCTAACTGACCTTCAGCCTCTTCTCTTGAGCTATGTGTTCTGTGCCCATTTGCTCACATGGTGGCTGATGATAAATGGAAGGAGAAGATTGCAGACAGTTGTGCAACAGATTTACAGACCTTATCCTGACCAGACGTTGCAATTCCAGAAATTTCACTGTTGGTAGATGTCACTGCTCAGAGAGGCAAGAACTGTATCTGGGGTCTTTCCCTCTGCAGTAGTTCACTCTGGATAGCAGAATCTAAGTTAATGAAGCACAGCTGAAAGGTGTTCTTTTATAACTTTTCCCATTGTGCGTGAGAAGTGAAGCCACAGGAGGTGATTATGCAGGGGGTAATTTAGAGGAGGAAATTATGACTAAGATTGTACAAATTCTAACCCATTTCTGTTACTTTTATGAGCTTAGAAATTCATACATTCATTTGCTCTGTACCTCATTGTCCCATCATTAGAGAAAGTTTAATTTTTGCTTGTGTAGTATTTTGAGCATTAGTCTGGAATGGCACATTTGCTCTTATTTCTTGCCTGTACTATATTACAAAATACAGAGCTGTTCCCTGGTATTCACAGCGAGTCACAAGTGAAAAGATATTATCTTGTATCTGCCTCATGGAGGTTTCAGGACAGACCATCAGGGCTGCATAAAAATAAATCTATTGCTTCATACCATATGCTGGATGTGGTAGAAGTCAGCAGCAGCCACAGAATTGTGGTCCCATGGGACCACAGAATTATAAGAACATATTATTATGCACGAGTACAAACAACCTTCTTTCTGGTTGTGTAAATTCAAGGGCTTTGTGCTATAATAACACCTAAACACTAAGTTGCAATCTGAGCCCAATGTTTAGAGGCAAGTGGAACAAAGCAAACACACATCACAAAGAGCAGCACTCGGAGACCAGCCACCACAGTCATCAGAAGCAAGGCAGCGATGGACTCAGTACCCTGGTAAAACTTGATACACTTGAGGGAGGGAAGGTTCTACCTCCTGAAACAGGGTGGAATTCCATAGGTGAAGGAATCCTTAGTCTCCTTCAGATTCTGTCCTGTAACGGCTTAAGCTATTAGTTATCAAAATTACTTTGGAAAGCTGGACTAAACCCAGAAGGCAAAAAGTCTAGCAGTCACAAGTAGCATTGGCCAGCAGGTGGGATCAGTTCTCCTGCCATAAGCTGTTGCTTCCACTTGTGCTTGCTGACAAAACAGGCAGCTCTGGCAAAACAAGCTCAAAACATGCAGGCCCAGCAGGTTAATGCCCCTCCATTGTAGTTTGATGGCAAATGTGGCTTTCAGTCCCCTTGAATAGAAAAGCAAACTGAAGTATGGTGTTGAACATGCTGAGCAAGTGCCCAGATGGGGTTGCTTTTATATTAATTTGGGAGCTTTGTATGATGGCAGTGTTTGCCAGCATGGACATCACAGGTAGCACATCTGTTGGAGCATGTGTAGTGAAAACAACCTAATCTGGTGCCAATATGCTTGTGTTCTTGCATGACCATCTGGATCAAGATAGATATGGTTTGTTCCCAGTTGACTTAATGTGTTGATCAGTTTTAAATCTGCATGAAAGGCATATGCCATAGAGAAAAACTCTCCATTCCTTCCAGACATGGTTTCTGTGAAAGACAAAAACTTGGAGGAAGAAATTCAGGTTTGGATAAGAGGTATAGAGAGTCCAGTGCTACATGACATTGCCAGTTCTTTCCTAATGGGCATTGGTTCATTTATAACAGTGCCAAATATCATCAGAGCATCTTTGAGACCTAGTGGTTTCAGCAGGTGTTGAAGATCCTTGGTCCCCATGCAGGGCTGCACCCTATACATAAATATTTGGGAGTGTGTTGAACTAGGAAGTTACCACAGTTGAAGCTGGTTTGTTTGTCTCCCCAAAGTCTTATTTTAAGTGCCTTGAACTGAACCATAACAGCTTCTGCCCAGCATAAATTATAATCCTTCAACATGATCAGTACTCACTCATGCAAGTCATTTATAGTGACTGTTCCAACTTTGTTCCAAATAACACTTAAATCCCATCAGAAATAGCATCACTCCACAAACAGGGGCCTGCTTCCTTCCACTGCTCCTTGTGTGTGCAGCATCCACATTATCAGTCTTTTTCATGCCTGTTTCCACAGCAGAAATTCTACAAGCTCAAGCCAGCCAAGCCTCCTTTTTTGAGAAATTAGTCTTTCCTCTCTCACCAATAAAAGGTGGAAATTGCAGTGAGTCAGTGACAGGAGCTTGGCCCCAAGCTTGACCAGCTACACAAGAGGATGTGAGTCTTTCTGTTGAGCAGTTGTTTGGAAACCACTGCCTGACCACCAGTTGCTATCTTGGATATGATTTTAGCCATTCTGGGTAATTCTCCCTGCCCATGGAAGCGGTTCTTTCTTTCAAGAAATTATGAGCAAGTCTTGCTGATACTACATACAAAATGGTACACATCACTCTTGCATCGATAACTAGCCCTGCTCAGCTC